CTGTGGAACAGTAGGTACCCTTCACACTCATGCCCTGCTCCAGCTGAACCTCTGTCGGCATGAGAGAAGGGAGGGAACAGAGACTTGCCTGCAACTCCTTGATCTTCTTCTGCAATTGCATGCCCAGGGCTTGTTCATCCTCGATCTTGCTCTGGATCTGGCTGATTTCAAAGTCTTTCCTATGCACAAAGAAAATTCTGTTAGAACCTGATGAAAAACACATGTGCATCAGCACAGAATTGTCCTTCAGGCATGCTTACTTCTTGAGTTTCTCATCCAACTGCTGCTTATCATTTTCCAAGTCCATTATGCTGTCATGGGACAACTTCAGGTCCCCCTCCAGTTTCCTCTTGGCTCTCTCAAGGTCCATGCGCAGTTTCTTCTCCTGCTCCAGGGACCCTTCAAGCTAAACAGAAGACAATCATGAGTACTCTGCCAGCAATCCTACGTAGATCCCTGTCCTGTTCATTCCGAATGTATACTTACATCATCCACTTGCTGCTCCAGCTTGGTTTTAGCTTTGGTCAGCGTATTGACTTTGTCCTCTTCCGCCTGCAGGTCATCCAGTGTCTGCTGGTGGGCCTCTTGGAGGGCCTTTTTCTCTTTTGTCAGCTTGGCAATGGTTTCATCCAGGCCTGCCATCTCCTCAGTGAGGTTTTTCACCTGTGAGAAGATAAGAACACATAGTAAGTAGAAGACGTAACTACAAATGTGCTGTACCATTGATTTCTGGARTAYGAGTGAGAAATTCTGTGTTGTACCTTGTTTTCAGTGGCATGCTTTTCCTTCTCAACTTTGGCCAACGTTAACTCCAGGTCATCAATATCTTTCTTCAGCTCTGAGCATTCATCCTCTAGTTTCCTCTTCTTGGCTGTCAGCTCAGCATTGATTTCCTCTTCATCCTCGGCCCTTTCTGTCACTTCCTTGATTTTGGCTTCCAGCTGGATTTTGGTTTTGATCAGCTGGTCACATCTTTCCTCAGCATCAGCCAAGCTATCTGCTTCCTGTGGTAGAAACACAATTTTTCTTCRATTACAATATTAGCAATTAGATTGTGTTTTATCTGGAAAATAGTTATGTATTTTCTCAGATGGTTGATTACAATTTTTGTTTGTATCTTTCAATAATATCTCATCTATGTGGTAGCCATGATAATACCTCATGCATTAACAGATTTCAGTTAATAAACATGTCCTCAATCGTGTTTTTTTTTTTTCAGCAGAATGGTCTTTAGGAGCATTTCTGTTCGTATGCAGCAGACTGTAGCTTCCCTTTTTGTAGTTGCCTCATGCTAAACACACTGTTATGTGAGAAGATAAAGGCTTTGTAATTCTAACAAAAAATAAATGTAAGAGAAAGGATAATGACAGTGTCACATATTTATTGCATATTCTACAGAAGTATGGCCTCTTTCTTTGGAAAGTCTGGAAGTCTGGCTATACAGACTCCTTTTCTGAATGGTAAATGAATRATGATACTCACAGCCTGCACTTGGAGCTGCAGGTCATTTTTCTCCTGCATCAAAGCCACCATTTTCTCCTCCAGCTCCTTCCTCTTTGCCTCAGACTTTGCAAGCTCTTCCTTAGTTTTCTCAAACTCCCCTTTCATATTGGCCATCTCCTTCTCTGATTCTGCGCTCTTCAGCAAGGGCTTGATCTTGAAGAACAGCTTCATCCAAGGCCAGTGTTTGACATTCATGAATGCACGAACGTTGTACTGGATGCAGAAGATGGACTCCCTGAAGCATAGTTAAAATGTACATTGAATAATTTGGATGTGAAT